GGATAAATTCGCTTGATGTAGTCTCCTGTACCCATCCGGTTCAGAATGTAGATACCATAGATAGGATCGTCCACACTGGCGACAAAAGTAATGTAAGATGTGGTTTACCATAGCGAGATACGGAACGAACTTACTGCTCGACTACAAACATACTTCCTTCGTACCCCTCCTTTGCCCACTTCTGCGTCCTGCCATTATAATTGTACAGGCAGACATGACTAAATTGGTCAATAATAGAAACTATTGTCGGATCGCCGCGCTTTAGAACAGTGAGGTTGTTGTGGTATATCGAGTCCGATGCGACAGCGATTTGCTTTCTGAGGAGTGGAGAAGATGTAGGTGCTCGAGGGATGTTGGGGTTAGATGATACATTGGATGTTGAGCGTGGTCTTCTAGGTGCCATTACACATGTGCAGCAAAGAGAATAAAGACAAGCCTAGGGTGGAGGAAAAGGCGTAAACGTCGTCAAGGTCGAGGTCAAAGGTGCGTGAGCCTGACGATGGAGGCAACTTAGGTTCAGAACCGAGAATGTGGGCCACGTGCCATACCCTCCAAAAGAGGGAAGTGGCAACGTGACCGTAACACCTCCGCATTCGGAACCTCTGCCAGCTCGTTACACCTTAATCACCGAACCGCCATGCCTCTGCCTTCTGCTCTCAAGTCTCGGATACCAGCACAAGATGCTCTGAAGGCTGTTAGAGCCGTTATTGAGAGACAAACGCAGCCTATCAAAACGCAGGAGTTGTATAAACAAGCGTTGAAGGAATCGGTCGGGTCCGAGGTCGAAGGCAATGGGATACAGTCCATGAGGTGCGTTCATACCTTTCTGTACAAACAAACAATTTATGCGAATCTACACAGCTATATGAAACGCGTCTTGTTGCCCGCCCTGGTCGGACAACAAGTGGTCGGGAAAATACATGTCAAACCAACTCTTATTGGTACTGAAAAGGCGCAACAACTAGCTAAACTGAGCAAATCGCAACGGCAGACCACTGCCGTCAAGACAGCTCTACACGGTTATTTTGGTTGGGTGGCCACAAAACCAAAAACTCCACACACGCCAAAAACACCTGAGGAACCTTTTGGTACGGCAGTAGGCGTTGGTGAAGACTGGGGACATCTCAATAAACGGAGGCAGAGATCGCGAGGGGAGAAGGTACAAAGAGACGTTGAGTGGTTAAAGGAGATAGAGACTGCCCGACAGGAGGCAGCTCCGGTAAAGCCCACCTCATAATTATGTGCTCTCGGTAATATCACACTATACTTCCCCTTGCACTTCGAATGACATAGGACGGTCGCACTAACTTGCACATACAGAAGATGCAACGTATTTAAGACACTGGTGCAATGCATTAGCAAGCAAAGGTATTCTATACTTGACGAGATCAAATGGACAGTCAGAAACTACGAGGCTTAAGCTTCAGCCACGACCTGAGAAGGCGAATCTTTCGGAGGTTCCAGAAGCAGGCGGCCGAGACGTGGAGGAGCGCATTTGTCAATGAATTCCATGGCCGTAGGTAGTTTAACCACCGCCAGACGGAGCGCTATGTAGTAGAGTCAGCTTGGGCAGCTCATATGTATCTTTAAGAGACACACCTTCTCTTGCGAGCTCCTCTCGTATGGGGGCTCCTCCAAGTTCAAATATTACCCGCCCTGTGGGGACTCTGAAAACAAAAAGAGGATGAGCAGAGTTGCAATACAACAGGCAGGAAAGTAATACTTGCCGAGTTGCCCAAAATTCGAATGCACCCTTACCCTTACCCATACGAGTTTCATTTCCCTAAGTTGATAAACCGTTTAACGACTGTTTATGTATACATGGAATGCACGAATCTACGCACCTTCTGACACACGGGAATATCAGGGAACACCCTCATATACACTTTCGCTCCCTTGATGGTCTTAATCTTCCTCTTTATAGCGTCCTCAGCACTGGTGAGCTGCTTTGCTGTCAGCCGCACCCCGTTTCCTTTTATCCGGATACCCCATTGTCCAAACGCCAGTGTCGTCCCCTTCGTCGACCCCCCGATAGGCACAGGAATGATACCCTTGTGACGTTTGATAAAGTCTACGCGCTTTGGGGCAAGCTGCGAACGAAACCGAGCAAAGGTGAGAGGTTGTTGTACGTTATTAAGCACTCGCGGCGATCCTGAAAGCAGCGACGAAGACGGTCGACATGCTGAGAGCAGTGAGCGTGCTGGGTTGAGAGAGAACATGGTGACGGATAGAAAAAGACTCTCATAGAAAGATTTTGTTAAGAACTTACCGCCCAAGTTAAGTATCACTTCTATTCAGCTGTTACTTGGTAAGTAGACTCCTGTAACACTCGCTACAAACAATAAGCAAGTCTCATATTAGACGCGTCTTGCCTTTGACCGCCACCATCGACTGACCGGCCACATAGACCACCTCACTTCTTCTTAAAGGCACCCCCTGTCGAGAAGGCATGAGTGACAGAAAGCGGGCATTTGAAGGGAACGGCGACTCTGCCAGTGGAGTGGCCAAAAAACTGAGAAGGTTTGTGTTATAATCTCTCGCATTTCTCTGTAACTCACACCGGTCTGCTATTCTCGTAGCGATGTCGTGAGTGCTATTTCATCCATTCTATATTTTTAAGGTGAATACGACTTCTCATGTTCGTTTCATGTCTTGCTATAACCGCCTTATAATATGCAGACAACGTCTCATGGGTCGCCTGGGTTGAATGTGAGTGTTATGTACTCTTTCTCTTTGACCAAATGACTAACTTTGGTTCTTCTAGGCAACGGCAGACCTCATTGCGAAGAAGCGTGCGGAAATTACGGCCAAGATAGCCGCAATGAAGAAAGGCACATCTACTTCAATCACAGCAACTCCAAGCCCAGCGGTTACACCGCCTGTCCCCAGTGCTACGACGTCACAGTCGGGTTCTCCGGCTCCGGTAGACGATCTTTCTAGGAGAGTTGCTGAAGCTAAGCGTAGAGTTGCGGAAGCCCAGAGCAAGTTGGCTGTCAAAGACAATCCATACATGGTACGTTTGCTCACTGCGATTAAGGCATAAATGTCAAACAGCTAGTACACAGAGCTTGCCTCAGGTCGGGAAGAAGAGCAAACCCGTAGAGCCCGCACAGCAGGGTGCTGGGTTGAAGATGGCTGCACACCCTCTTCTATTGGACAATACTCCCGCCTTGCCTCAGTCCAAGAAGGACCGATACAAGCCCATGCAGCCAAAGTTCGCCTCCATCAAGGTATGTTTTGTTAGTTTCTTACTATTCGTATTTTGACCGTATCAATTTTATGGCCTTAGGCCAATGCTCGTAATGCCCCTACTCCTCCACCAGCACCCACACCTATTGTACCCGTGGAGGTAAAAGCAAATCCCTATGCTTCTGGGTCTGCTACTCCGGATAGTGGTTTTGAGGGAGCTCCTAAGGAGCGAGTCGGTCGGTCTTTTAGATTCAACCCAAAAGGCAAATATGTGCAGATCGGCAACCAAATCCGTCAAGAAGCTCAGTTAGAGCAGCTGAAGCAAAGAATTGCGGAAAGTGCAAAGAAAGCTGGATTGGACACCGAGTTCGAGACTCTGGAGAAGAATATTAGAGTGAGTACGTTAGACGCTTTTAATGAGTTGCCTTCTCAATATACATTGAATTGACAGAGAGGCGCGCCACCCGAGGCGGAATGGTGGGACGCTGCTTTGCTTCCCAACAAGAGCTATAGCGATCTCTCGCTCGGCGTGGAGAACTTGAACGTCAGGAATAATGGTTCACCCGTCACTATTTACGTTCAACATCCGATTCCTATTCCGGCACCTGGTGACAAGAACAGGGTGGCATTGAAGCCTCTCAAGTTGACAAAGAAGGTTTGTTATTTGCCTCTACATCATTGTGACCCAACTTACGGCTGATACCTTTTATAGGAGCAGAAAAAGTTACGAAAGCAACGGCGACAGGCCGAATTACAAGACAAGAGAGATAGGGTAAGGATGGGCCTTATCCCGCCTGACCCCCCCAAAGGTTAGCAGTTATCACTATGTGTTACTATATCGTGACTCACAAATACGATTTTAGTCCGTCTGGCCAATCTCATGAAAGTTCTAACGTCGGACGCCGTGCAAGACCCAACACGTGTGGAAGCTCGAGTCCGCCGCGAAGTCGCTATGCGTAAACACGGTCACGAGAAGATGAATGCTGAACGTAAGTTAACAGACGAACAGCGGCGGGAGAAGCTCGAGACGAAGAAGATCGAAGAAGAGAAGAAGGGCGTTTATGGTGCGGTCTTCAAGTAAGTTGTCGCCGATTCATTTCTCGGGTTGACGCTGATGTTCTGTCAGGGTCAAGACATTGTCAGACCCCGCTCATCGCTTCAAAGTTCGCAAGAACGCTGAACAAAGAAACCTCACTGGCGTCTGCATCTTCAATCCTGGGTTCAGCATGGTGTATGTGGAGGGTGCACAGAAATTCATCAAGGAATATAAGCGTTTGATGCTGCACCGTATTGCCTGGACGGAAGCGGCTCGCGAGAGAGGTGATTCTGATGTTGAGCTCGAGGCAGGGGATGAAGCGGAAGGTGGGCCACAAGATAACGTCAAGGGGAAGGCAAGGGAGAATGGTGAGGAACATGGGCAGGTCTCATTGGAAGACAATCAGTGCTGGTTGATATGGGAGGGTCAGCTACGTGATAGAGCGTTCAGCAACTTCAAACCCAAAAGCTGTCCTACCGATAATACAGCCAAGGAAGTGTTGGGACAGAAGTTGGCGGGATATTGGGACCAAGCCAAGAATTGGAAACCCGAGGAGGAAGAGCTCTTCTAGCCAGCGGCACGCGGAACCTTTGGCGTCATGTTCTATGATAATTTTCTATTGTTCGGTTAGCCCATAATATTATTGTCCATTTTTCTGCCATCGCAGTATACGTGGTGCAGGACCTAGTGGGGACGGATGAAAACTCACTGTGGTGCAATCCGACAGAACATAGTCGTTGTAGGGAGTAAAACAAACGAAACAAAAGACTGATCTCTCCCTGGCGGGGAGTCGAACCCCGCTTTCGCGCGCACTTGAATAAAGTGACAGGCGCGTGTACTAGCCGATACACTACCAGGGAATATAACGTTATCGGTATAGTATTTGTATGATTTCTGAAGTGTCTTTGGATTATTGTTCGAGGTTGTTTCTAACGAAACTCGCTCGACAACAAGAAATTCATAGGATAGAATGCCATTCCATAGAACGCGAATTGAACCACAGAACTCAACACCACAGTGTAGATATAGGAGAAAGGGTGTGGAAAAAATCGAACGATTAAATAACGCAGAAGGACTCGGATCGTGCGCGGTGTAGGTCGTTGAGTAAGTGCGCATGCATACCAGAATGCTCAAAAGATTCGAATTTTCAATCATTATTACCCTACATAAATACAATTACTAGATACATCATCATCAAAACAATCCAAATTATACACATCGTATAGAGATTATACCATTGGTATGATAGACGAGGATAGTAAATCATCATATGCTATAACCCCTTGAATGAGCGTACAATAATAATGTGAGGCATAAAGAAGACGTACGCAGTGGCTAAGTCAAGTATGAAATGTTCGTTATTTGCCAATGGTCTCAGACCCGCAAACATGGTATCCTCCCCCAATACGTCGACTCGTAGTGTCATCCCACTGTCCACTGGTGCACACTGCCCGGCTGAAGCTCCAACCCTCCTTATCCGACTGGCTCTGCGAATGGACTGTAGTGTACCATCGTGACCAGCACAGATGGTACTCAGCTCTGTGACAGTCACGGGGGTATGAAAGTATTCATCTAGTGCTCGCAACACGTCTTGGACAGTTACGTATGCTTCCCAAATTTCTTGTTTCGCAGGAATAGTAAGTCGCCAGGGTAAGGAGGGGCAAATTATGGACATTTTTCTTGAGATGGGCAACGTTGCAGATGAGTCAAGGGTATGCGGGGGGACGGTGGATATCGTGCCATTCTTTGAACGAAGTTGTGCATGATTCCATGAAAAGCACATATCCCATAAAATGCGTTCGCTCGTGCCCATCTCCCGATTTGAGCGTAAGATATCGTGACATTCAATTGCGAGGTTCGCTTCCGGCAGTTGAGGCAATGATCCTGTCTTTGGAAGAGGTGACAATTCGAGTTGGTGGGGGAGAGGAGATGGTGGGAGGTCGATGAAACGCTTGCGTTGAAGTGGTGGTGGCTCGGGTGGGGACGACCTTCCAGCACTGCCAGTACCCTACATATCATTCAGAGTCTAGTACATGCGTACACTTGGCAGAGACATACTTGCGGCGATTGTCCTGGCATCATAAGCAGGAAGTGGGGAGACGAGGAGGAGAAACGGCGTTGGGTAGAGTCTCCCGAGTGAGCTGATTATAAGCCCTACTGCAGGAAGAAAAGAGTCAACATCGAAATCCGACATTACATCATTTCTTCCGAGTGTACCTGAGCGAATGCTTTCCTACGTGCCCAAAAATTTTACTGTTGGAGAATCGTAAAGTGCTAGCCGGGAGGTGCCTTGGATCAAACAGTTGGAGATGTTCCGAGAATGCAGATTGCGGTGTACATGGCAGCACTCCCGGGATTGGGTGGGAACGGCAGGGTAATTTCCTGGGGAAGCACTAATACAGGCTATGAGGCGCGGGATACTAAGAGACACAGCGACAGATGCTGAGCAATAGGCAGCGCAGGGACGTACGGTTTTGTTCGCACTTTAAGTTTGAGCAAGGGCATTGTTAGACTATTGTCAGACTGTTGTCAGACTATTTTCGTAGTGAAAGGCGAGAGAGTAAGGACGGTACACAGGTCTGAAGCAGAGTAAGGCGGCGCCTCGTTCCTAGCCTAAGTGCTCTCGCAAAGCCGAGACACAGCCAGGGCGGCTGTGTTTTGTAGACGGGCCGCCCGTTGTAAGTAGCGCCCTGTACGTGCGATTGGAGGTAAGGGCCTGCTATCGGATGCCCAGTGAACGGTATGAAGCTGTTAATCGTAACATATTCGTCACGACCAACAACTCAACCGCCAGCTTTCAGGATGTTGGAAGTTGATAGACCGTTATGCACCCCGCTCTAAGTCCAATCGAGTAATCTTGAATGCGGATATTCCCGACTAGTAGCCTAAGCTCAGCGTTCAACGTCCAACGTTCAGCTTTGCTGACAAAAGTATACGGACCCTACCAGGTTAAATGTGTCTTGTGTTGCTATTCAGCTGCGCCGCGGTTGGGGTGTGGCCATCTCGAGCACGCCGCGTTCAGGAGCGATAGGCTTGGTTGTTCGGCTTTGTCAAGAGGCAGACAAGCCGTAATTCACCCATTTGGCATCCAGACGTGCTGTGCTGCGAATAGACAAACCGTACACCGAGTACGAGGAGCTATTCTACGAGAAACTCAGCAGTAAAAACATGAAACTATGTAGAATCGGAGTACGCACAGTCAACAGAAATTCCCCCATCCGTCCGAAGGTCATTCCTCCCCGCAGTCGTCTGTTCAACTACATGCAGTACTTGACTCAAGATGACTCGTCTGTGGAGAGCACTTCTGCGCGATTTTCCGACCCTATTGTATTAGTGTTTGTATTCAGGATTTCCAGTAGCCGGGCAGAAGTCCTGGGGTGACGGGAGCAGCCATTCTAGACTCGTCTAGTGGCATGCTCATCCTCAAGCTCTGTTAGCCGGCATATGGGAGGCGGGATTGCACTTCTGTTACTGCTCAACATGCGTGTACGAAGTACCGAAGTGATGCGGGAGCGGTCAACTGAGATGGCCGCGAGACGACCGACGTTTGCATCGATGACTCGGCGGTACCCAAATACCCATGTCCGACGAAAAGGGAGGCGCTCGGGTACTTGGGCTTGATCGAGATCGCCCGGCCGGTCTAGATGAAGAGATGAGAAAAGTGACCTGCATAACACGATTAAATAGGTGTACACAATAGTTGCTAGCCTCGTGCAACCACGGCTTGCTCTGGGAGGGAAGTCGTCCCGGAGCTCTTCATAGCTACCCGGAAGCGAAAAAGTAGTAGTGTCTGTTGCTGCTGAGGTACGCCTACCCGAAAAACATGCACTGTGGGGAACAGGCCGAAACCATGACATGATAGTCGGAAATCGAAGCTGTCCATGAGGAAGTCCCCACAAGTAATTGGATAGAGCATGTGTCGTACAAATCCGTGTCTTCGCCCGAGCATAGATTGCTCTTCTGCCTAGATAGCACGTAAGATCCAAACGGATGTCTTGCTCCTTAGAGTGAAATAGGAATGGCATGTATTCCGCGCATTGGCGGGACAGTGGAGTGTTTCCTGACATGCATAATTCAAGCCGGGACGGAGACGGAGACGGCGGTTTAACTTTGTACATTTCCGTCATCTGTTACACGGGCGAGCAGCGTCTCTTCATCCTTGTACAATAGACTACACAGCAAGTGGCCGGCATGAGGGATATGGTTAGCCTTTACACCTATGCCAGTATCAGTCAAACGTATGACGCACTCCAGATACATCTGCTAGCCTCAAGGTGACACGCGTAACCAGCACGTTTGAACGGGGTGTGGCTCTATACCTCCAATGGATATGCAATTTCACTGGATCACAAAGATCTGTTGTTCTTCATGCATCTGAAGCCGCGATATTATTGGCATGATGATGCAGACTGATGATAGCATGTAGCCGTCCGCGGTTTGAACAAAGCGAGTTTAGGCATATCGGTCATGAGAATCTCGCGTAGAGCTGCATCTGAGAGAGAGGGTATTGGTCATTCCACAGACGATCAGAGTGAAAAGAACTCTTCGTACTATTGTGACATTCGGAGACCGGTCCAAGTCTCTCGGATACTTGGGGGACTTGCTGTGACAGTACAGTCTCGCATCGTATTGTATTTGGATCAACTAGAGGCACAGAGGAGAGGGACACTGGCGTGATTGTTCTGCCCTAAGAATGAGGGGATACTCTGGCGGAGACCGAGCTTGGTAAAATTGGATGATAAATTGATAATCGCAAAGTCAAGTTGTAACGTACGTTTGCGGTCACCTTGGGCAGGTACGGTTGGTGAGAAGCCTCTCGGAGCGAGAGAAGGATAGTCTTGACAACAGTCGGTGTAAGCCAATGAGTCCTTTGCTCCCTTTGCAGTGCTCTAGACCTAACCATGTTCCTTTCCGCCTCCGAGCTACGATGGAGCCGGTCAAAGCTCACCGGGCGCAGCACAGTCTAGAACTAGGATAACTATGTAGTTGGCTTCCCAGCGAGGGTAAATGCCCCTGAAAATGCATGTACCTCTTCAGTTACTATCCGCAAACAAGGAAATTGCGAGGGACAGCTTACCACTATGCGCCGTGCGCTAAAAGCACCCCGCCCCGACACAGCCGACGCACTGTAAAAGCGCTGGGATATTCGTGCCAAACTTTATATCCCTGACGTTGGAGTCATTTAGAATGTATGAATGCTCAGTAAGTCTTCAGACATGGTTCAGCATATGAGGCAGGGGAAGATTGGATTCGGGTGATAAATGCGATAATGTCCCGACGCTTCGATAAGTCGTGCGCAGATAGCATTCGTGACATGTCCTGGTCCGTCCGATTGTGAGGTGGGCGACTGTGCCTAGAAATATATCTAAAGGGGTTAACATTAATACCACGAATGCTATGGCCAGGAAACAAACTGACTCTTTGATTTGGAGAAGCCGACCACAGCAACTTTTGTCAATTCGAAATTTGGGGGATTGTTCGTGGGCACTCATGACGTGCGATAGAACAGTGCTATTGCAAATCTAATATATATGTTAGAGGCTCAAATCTGCGTTGATTTGGGCAGAGGATGCATACCGTACGCTAAATCGTCGGCCGGAGTCCCCACCGGAACTTCATCCTCATAGGCACGTCCCTGTTCAAACGTATGTACCAGATCGGCGAAGGGTTATGGCTGTTCGTCAAATATCAAGTTGATGTGGCAGACCAGCTCGCTGTACCCCGTGATGTACACTCAATGGGTTATGATATCTTCCTGGTTGGTTGGAAATGATAATTAAGGACTGCGCATAATATGTATGATTCGCAAAAATTACTTACATAGCTATTTTTCTTTGTGAGTTCTTCCCCCAGAGCTGAA